GAGAAGGCACTCAGACACCATGGTGATAAGGTCTATACAAAAGAACCCCCACAACTCTATACAAAAAAGTACAGTCCTGTTTAAAGGAAAGGATAATGCTGTCCTGATCCTCTATAAATGATGTGCTTTCCTGAACTTGGAGAAAAGCAAATAGTTTATAGAGAGTCAGGATAGCATTATCTTTTGGGTTTTGCTCTTTATCATAAAAAATTGCAAAGCAACAAATGCTTTTTTATCATTCTCTTTTCCTTCTTTTCAAAGGATGTGGTTGGTCATCTTCTAAGTGCTGCTTTACCTTGAAAACTAAATCAGGTTCTTAGAAAGCTAAAGGTGAATTTATTACATACCAATGTCATGTTAAAATTAAATTTGACCAATGAAACAAATATTCTCTTGACTGCAGAGATGTGTAATCACTGCATGCAACAATTCCACCTGTTGTGAGCAGAGATGGACATACCACCACTGCACTCTTTCTACAACAGCCTTTCAAGTACCAGAATGAAAGTGACTGCAGACAAAAGAACCCAGATTCTCTTTGTTTGCAGAGTTTGCACTGACTCTGAATAACCAACACTACACTTATCAACTCAGGAGAGAATACTTGTCACAACTTCAAAATGGAAGGCAACAGGGATCTGTAGCACCATAATTCAGGTTACAAACACACAAGACAGATTCTTTAGTGGGCCTTTTACCAGTATTTAATGAAAGACAGTATCTGGTCATGCAGGACAGGAGCTCATCTCTATCTACTAGAAATATATTTCACTTATAATGGGAAATGCTGACTTTTGCCCTAGGAGTTGACATAGCCCTCTGCCTGGGAGCAAGGATTACTGAGAATAATTTCTGTCCAGTCCTTTCCAGGGTGAGTATAGAACAGTGTCAGGGCATGTAAGAGTATGTACACAACATACCTGCTCCACACACAGTTCTGGCCTTGCACACAATTCTGGATGCTGGAGTTTTATTACTTACAGGCAGTGATATATTAAGACTTTTATGGAGTCCTGTAATAAAATGAGGTCCATATGTGTTCAGGGGCTGAAGCTCTCTCCAATATGAGCTGAATCACTTACTCAAACATACACCACGACAGTCTGAAGTCTGAAGACAGCCACTCACCTACAATTGCTCTGAGAATCCACAGAGCCCAAAATATCAGCCATTACTTCACATCTATTTGAGGGAGGGTTTTTAAAAAACACAAGTGTAACACTGTTGCCAGTGTTAAAGTTTTCTTGATATTTCAAAATTTTATTCAACACTTACAAATTCCAAAGGATATTTCATTTTCTACGTTGAATATACAAACTTGTGTTGTGCACCTGCCACTTGTGGAGGTCAGTCCTACAGTTATTTAGCCTTCATGACCTCACTGACATGGGACTTTACAAAAAGTCTTTACACAGTTAACCTCTGCGTTCCCCTTCCACATTTTCTGGCAGGACAGAAACATACATTTTTTCCTCCACTAAAAAAAACCCATGTTTGAAACAAATGTAGGGTTCTCATGTTTAACATAATACATTCTCAGTCATCATTATGAAATCTTTCTTTTTTATGACTTTGAATACCTGTGCAGCTCATAGGCATAATCAGCATAATGAAGAATTCAGAGGGAAAAACATGAGTGTACTCCAATGTATTTTATTTGCTAACCACATAAGATGGCTTCAGGAGCATTTCATGTCTCTTTGGAGATTTTTCATGCAATGTTTCACAAAGAGGTCACTGCTCTTTAACCCACAGGATGTCACTGAAGCACCAAGAGAACTCTGGTTCTCTAAACACTCACTGCATCCTAAAGCACAATGGTAAGGAGATACAGGACAGATATTCCTGCTACATCAGATAGATTTGCTGGTGATTGGTATGAAGAGTTTGGTCCCAAAATGCTGACTAACTTTGCTCCATCAGCAGCAATTGCTGGAAACACATTCCATTCAGTATCTCCCTCTAGCACTGCAGTGACTGCTACAGGGTCATGGAAATATAAATGGGACAGGAAGGTTCTGCCAAATAGAGGAATGGGAACTGTAGGCTCCCTGTTAAGATTTCCTTTGTAATACACTGATAATATTCTCTAACCATGGAATAATATTAGTCCTTCAACTCATTCTTTATCTCTTTATCTCTTCTTTATTCTTTATGTCTCAGGTATGTTAAAGACAGCTGAAAGACTAACTGGATGTGAATGTCACTGGTTTCCAGCTTATTACAAAACCGTGTCTCAGAGATCTTCTCCTTTTACTATCAACACAGCCTATTTATAGACAATAACCAAAACACTGTCTAAAGCCAGAGGACTGGCAGCTAACACCAAAAAGAAAGTACTTCCTGGGAAAAAGGAAGGCATGTGGAGACACTCTTCTGCTGTGCCAGGATCAGCTCCCTCTCTGTCAGCTGAGGAACTGTCTCTACCTTGTCTACTTTCATTTTAATCCCTTAATTATGATTAAACAAACTTTCTCTGGCAGTCAGGCAGGTGCATTGCGTCATCTGCCTTGTTCAGGAAGATGGGGAGCTGACAGGAAACTCCCTTGGCTAAACAAACCCCAGTTAATGCCAGCCTGCCGTTTTCCACATCTCTGTCATCATCTCTCTGGTTTGTACCAGTGACAGGACCAGATTGCTGGCTGCTGAGCCAGCCCTTGGAGACACGGGCTAAACCATCAGCGCCTGACAAACCACAGACCTCTGTGAGATGAACCAAGACACAGCAGAGCAAGGTGCTGACAGGTGTGGCCTAGGTGATGTTCCAGCAGCTGTGAACAGTGCCAGCCACTGCAGGAACATTCAGCACAAAGCCAGAGGCAGAGAGCAGCAGCAGCTCCTCTCTCAGTGCTAAGGGCAGGAAAAGAGCAGATGCTCACCTCCACTGACTGAGTAACTTCCACTGTGCTCTGACTTGCATTGCTGACTCCTGTTCAGACAGAGGCGTCTGCCTTGGATTTAGTGATGCCTCAGACACAAACTGAGAAGAGACAAGTAGGATAAAGCTTGCGAGCTACTGACTCGCAATCTCCTTATTACAAACAGGAAGCTGGACCCATCAATTCTTCTGCTAATGCAGACAGTTTTACACAGTGCAGTTTCTGCTCTTTGGAAAGGGCCCTGATTTGAACTGGGCAGTGTCATGGAGATAGGAATACAATTCTTTTGTGCCAAATGCCTTTCTTTTACTCTTCTGCCTCTAAGCTCCACCTGTCCACTCCCCTCCTCTGAGACCTCTGGCCTCGCCTTTTTGCCCTGTAATCTCTGCTGTGATTGTTAATGTTATATTTATAATCAAAGTAACCATATCAAACTATTCCTTTTCGACTGAGGTTTTGCAGTAGACTTTGTAAAAAATGTATGAAGGTGTATAAAGCTAACTCCCTCAATCATTTGCCAAAGAGAATCCCTAGATTAATACTTTAATCTAGGTGCTCCCTCCAGCATCTAAAGTATTAGGTATTGGCCAGCCTTCCTAAGTCACATATTAAGCACAATACACACACTTTACAGATCATTATAAAACTATTTCTTCAGTAACTCTTTTGTATCATTCTATATACCTGGACTGTATTACTCCTAATGAATTCAAGTGTTTAGACTTGCATATTTATTTCACAGTTCTCTACTGCTGTATTAATGACTGAATACAGCCTTAAGTGTACAATTCACATTTAAAAGGAGAGACTTTGATATGATTTTTACCAACTCACTTTAGGGTAATGGGTAGGCATTGTGCCACACAAATCACACTGTCCTCTCTTGTGTTAAGGAGGAATTGTGTGTGCTCTGAGCAGTGCACACCAGCAAACATGGGTTTGTGCCATATTTTTACATTTCTATGAGTCTCCCTGTTCATTTACTTTTCAATAGCATGGAATATGAAATCATGGCTCTCCCCTTCCATACAAGAGGTCAGACAGGTCACCTACAGCTGTGCAAAAGATGTGGGTTTTTTCCTTTGGTCACAGGAAACCAAGGCTTAGAGCAGCCTGCCTGAGTCAAATACACCTAGTGCTTCAAGTGCCACAGCTTGCAATCATGAAAAGTATCCCAGAAATTAAAAGTACAAAACTGGTATAAACAAAAATCTGGCAGTGAGGAATCTTCTTTGGAAAGACAGCTTTGAGATCTGATGGCAAATTATTCAGATTCTGAATGGGAACCTCATTTCCATCCCAGCACTCTTTCCTCTTGAGAGCCTGGAGTGGGGGTGGAGGGGAGGTAGAGGCAAGAGGCTGAGAAGGGACACCCAGGGGGAGTGACCTTCCAGAGATAATCAATGGCTTTGCAATGAGCAGCCAGCTCTACTGAATATTGATTAGGCAGTGCTGGCAAGCTCTGCTCCGGGGAGGTCAGTGCTGCTGCCAGCTGCCTTGTGTGAGCACAAAGGGAGCCTCAGCAAAAGGCAAATTGTAAATAGCAGGTTTTATGTGAGAGCCACCATTCAGGCCCCTGGTAGAAGGAAAAAAACCCAGAAGTATGGTCACTGCACGAGCAAGCAGAAGGCAGCAGCAGTCCTGCTAACTTCTGTTATTACACTGTGCAATTCAATTTTACCCAAATAAACTTATTTTAAAGATTATCCCTTGCCAACATGCATGATACCATGAGTTGCCACAGGTTTCTCTTCCCTAAAGGTTCCACAGACACGTGAAATGGAGTGCTTTCACAGACATCTGCCCTCAGAAGCTTTGCCCAGTGTTACCCCTCAGTACATACCAGGTATGAGTACACATTTCAAGGTGATACCATGTGCTGGCCTAGCTCTGAGCACATCTCACAGCCTTGAAGCAGCACAGCTGTGTGTTAGTACTGCATCCCTCTCACAGCACAATCTGTTCTTGCTGTCCCATTCAGGAACCAAGATTCCAGCTTTTTAGTATTTTTAAAAATATAAAAAGTTAGATATTAATTTTATTATTACAACCATTGGTCAATACATATAGAATGTATACAGCTGAGGAAATTAGCTATTAGTGACTAAGAGGATATCCTACCTTTTTAGAAGCAGACAGTCTTTTCTCATAGGCTTTCTGTGGAAAGAGAAATTAGGACAGTCAGGGAAAAAATACCTGGAAACTGTGTTCTTAAAACAAAAAAAGCAAAAAAAATCAACAAAAGTTAAAAATGGGAAAAAAATAAAATAAGAAGAAGAAAAGAAAAAAGTTCCAGTTTCTGCCTGGTGTAACTCATCTGACTTCAGTGGGGTTGTCCCAGAGCAGATTCGTCCCTCTGTCTTTGCCAAAAAGAAAACAACAGGAGCCAGCCAAAGGCATCTGCTTTTGCATTTCCCCAGTGAATCCATTCATTATACTCTCCTGATAGAGAAGAAGTAAACAAAGGCACTTCATGATGCTGCATCGTGCTATCCATAATTACATTGTATGTGCTCCATCAGCAGACATGCTCCAGGGCACACTGCAAAAGCTTTTGATGTATTCAGGACTCTTTCTGAGAGGGTGGGTTAAATGAAGTGAGGGAAAAGCTAACAGTTAAAACAGGAAAAGAAATCCTAACTTAACCTAAGCAGTTACTTGGAGTGGAGCTCAGTGTAAGAGGGAGGGGAGGAAACCATCACTAACACACTGCAAAAAAAAAAAAGATGGGAGCAGAATTCCTGCCCACCAGTATCCCAGTTAGTATGTGTGCTTTAATATTCATCCCTTTTTCTTTATGATCTCTAAAACAGTAATCATGTTATGTGGTGCTCCCACATAAAAACCTCACTCTGGATAGGGATCTAGAAGAATTTTTTAAACAAAAAGTTCAGTTTGGAAGCTCTCTGAGGCTAACTTTATATAAATAGCCAACCATGCTCTGACTTCATAGTGACATAAGTCAGGTGTAACTTCCAAAACTGTGAGCATTAGAAAACTCTAGTGTCAGATCATAAGTGAGTCCTAAACACTTTATTGCTTAGAAGATCAGCTTAAAGTGCTTGGCAGTACCTGGTGCAAGTCATTCTCTGAGAAAAAATTCTGTTTATCTTGTAAGAATGTACTAACACTGTCTTGGTGGTAATTAAGTCCAGCAGAATATAACATTTCTGCTGAGAACTTTGCTTTTAGAAGTCCAGAATCTGCCATGAGAACATGTGTAATCTACACCCTGTATAGAAGTGTTTGTGTCTGAAAAGAAGAACTTGGCAAAAGGAAATTCTTTAAGATAATCAACACCCAGGTGGGCAGGAGAGGCAGGAATCCAAGGGCTGGAAGCTGAGACTGGTCTGGAAAGAAAAGCACAGAGAGAGGTAGCAAGCAAAGGTGAACACAGATTGGGGGAGAGACAGTGCTGTAGTAAATTCTACCTTGTACTACCTATATGCACATATAACCTAGGCTGCTGCAAAATCACAGCCTTAAGTTTGTTAGGGTCTTAACAGAAGTAATTTTTGGAAGTGAGAAGAGGTAATAGAAGTTGACCTGTATCAAAATACACTAAAAATGGCACTTAGCAATGTCAAATTGCTTCGAATGCTGGATTTCACTGTGGACTGTGGAACAAAACTGTTTCAAAGTGCATACATCAAGACCACATTTGGATAGTTTAACAGCAAACTGTAAGATTTCTAACCTCTGCAATCCTAGCTCAAAAAATATATTCCATATCCAAAGTTTGCATCTGTTATAGTCATTTGGGATAGAGGGAGAGACCATAAAAGGAAAAATTCAGACAGCTCTTTCCGGAATGCTTGTTACATAAAGATTAAAAACTATCAGGCTTGTGTCCCTTGAAAAGTGTTCACAGACGAGTAATTACAGTTAAACAGTAGCACCTGCCTCTAGAAAGGGCTGGACACCGATGTTTTCTTAGCCACTGCTCAAGGGACAATGGACACAATATATAAGGGAGCAGGCAGTGACAGCTGCTTACAGGTGACAGGGGAAGTAACCTACCCATTTCTCACTAGAAAAGCCAAAAACTCTACCTCACTTGGGCCCTTGGGGTTTAGCATCTTACAGACAAAGCACATCCTGAGAATTCTCTAAGAGGAGCTGGCTCTGGAAGGAGTGATTACATGGTAACTCTTTAAAACTTTGCCATAAGAGCTGCAGACTTACTCCTCATGTTATTATATAAAAGTTGCTGGCATTTATTTCCCAGTCATCTTACTCATGAGCTTGCCCTTCAGAGAGAAGAAAGGGAGCCAGGAAGAGACATGAACAGGCATTACCACGTCAGAAAACTCTCAGCCAAAGCTTAGTCATTCCATACAAATTCAGAAAGATTGGAGACTTGTTTAGCTGGAGTTTCAACTCAGTGTAACAAAGAGGAAAGGATAACCAATGTCACAAAATAATACACTGCTACTTGGCAGCAAAATAGAGTCAAGCCATAATAGCTTTTATAAAAGTTCCCTCAGCATTTATAACAATTAGTTACTGTATTAATAATTATTAATAACACCTTATCTAGCTATTCAACCCCACAGATGTGCAAGTCTTTAACACAGGCAGGACCAGCATTTGCTCATTCTGGATTACCAAACATTTGACCTTACCATCATTGCAGGTACCCATATTGTGGCTACTGGCACAAAGAAATCCCTGAGACCTGCAGGAACCAACTTGTGATTTCTACAAGAAATTTTCCCAGACCTTGCACTACACAGAATAGAACTGAAAAAACTTTTAGACTTATTTGAAGGAATCTTCTACAGGTCAGAAAGTCTTTACAGATTAATTTTCTCAAAAATTCCTAGTAATTCCTAGGAACAGAGCTAATAGGCACCCTTTGGAATTATTTTGGCTTTCACCAGGAAGGAGTCTGTTCTGAAGAAAACTCCATGTGGAAAACTGGGTGAGAGGCACATGTTTCCCCTTCAGCTGTGAAGTTTAGACACAGGGATGTCTGTTATGACCCTCTAGCTGAACGGGAACCCAAGCCACCCCTTCAGGACAAGCACACAACGCTCACCATTTCTGTGAAAAACCAATGAGAAGTGCAGTGGGCATCATCCACAGGGCTTTGGGCCACAGCTTTCCTCTGGGCAAGTTTAAATCTGGGCTGCAAAGAAGGCTGAAATACAAAGCTACTTGTGGCCAGAAGTGCTGTGTTTCAAGTGGCTTGGGATCAAACCCATCCTGATTTGCACCCAAACCACATACAATTTCAGGCTTGCAACTTAGCCAAGTGTTGCTGAAGGGTTCACAAACTTTTGTGAACTTGGCTTGAACTTTGCATTGGAAAGGAAAAGGTAAAATAAAACTTGCAAGTTGAAGTTTCTGCCTGAAGTCATTTTGCCCATCTCCAATACTCATGCCCTATAAAAGAACAGTTGATGTTCCATTCTACACAGTGACCCCAAACCCCATTCCTTAGACACATTTTCCCAGATTTCTTTTTCTGTATGGACCTTTCCCACCTCATGGGTTTCACAGAAACTGTGAGCTTTAAGATGAAGATCCTCAGCTACAGTAGCATTGTAGGCTATGCATAATCCTTAATCACAGAAGTAAAATCCTTCCATCCCAAAAAACTCACTTAAGTAATGATAACATGATAACATTCCTTCAGATTTTCCGAGGCCAAATGAAAACTTGTTTTCTATTTTTAAAGAAAGATAGAAAATAATATAAAAGAAGAACTTGGAAAATTGATCATGGTCCTGTGAGTGCTGGTAAATCCAGCTTTGGGCTCACAGATTCCATTATGTGCCTTTATTTCTTATTCTGAGGTATAGGTAGATACAGATACAGATGCACAGCACCCTGCAGTACACCAAGGTCTGCTGGTTATGGCAGCTTTGACTCCTCCTAGAATCAAGTGCCCCACTGTTTGTCTGGAGAAGTGCATGTTCTTCTCAGGGAGGTCCTTTCCCCCTGCTTCAGCCTCCATTTGTAACACACTCACATAAAACCTCTCTCTTAGAACAGGAACTGCACATTTGGGGAGCTTTAGGATAAACTGCAAAGGGGTTCATAAAAATGAGAAGGGAGAGTGAAACATCTGTAACTAAAATTAACTCTTGAAGCTATACCTGTTCAAATAAATAGATTTTAATTCAAAGCAAAATTAGTTTATCCCTGAACAATGAAGTTTCCTGAAATTTGTTCTAAAATAACCATCAACCCTATCTACTTTTCTCCATGCTCATTTTCAGCCTGTTCTTTCCACTTGTTTCTTTTTTTTATAAAGAATTACCATTTTTGTAGTGGCAGTAGTAAATCATTAAAGTAAAAAACAGTTTCAGAAACCTTGCTCTGATACTCTGAAAATAAAACAAACAAAAAAAAAACCACTGCTAATGTCTTCTAAACCATTTCACATCATCTAGGATCACATATTTGAAAACAAATGAAGTTATCAGATTTCTGAAGAATATATTTTTGGTTCTGCACACTTTATCTCTATAAGCCTTTGCATAGTCACTTGAGTTTTGTGCTTAACCTGGCAGTTTGAAGAACTGGCAAATAAAAATAGTTCCTGCCTCTAACTCTGTCCTTTTCATGTGATGATAATTTACTCCTAGTGCTGCTCAGGAGAGGTGCAAAGCAACATCAGGATCAAACACAACATGTAAATAACCCTGAGGCACCAGGGTTTCTCCTTCGATCTACTGTAACAAATTCTCTCTGATAATTTAGCAAAATAATCCCTGAATCTTTTCACAGCTGGTGTATGTTTTACAACAAAGGTCCTGATCTTGTCTAGGTAGGTTTGGTTTTCTTGGAAAGACTTTCTGACAGTGGATGACAGTGTGGTATAGTCCCATGCTCTTGGAGCAATGGGGGTGTAAGGAAGTTCCAGCTGACCAATATTCCCACCTGTTTCTTGTGGGACTGTGCTCTGAAACATGGAACTTCCACTGAAGTGAAAATTTACTGGGCCAAGAGAGACAGAAATGAGCTTTCCAGACATGTCTCTTCCTCGACTTGTGCAGCTTGCTAAGAGTTGTGTTGCTACAAGTGTGTGTGTTTGTGGAAGAAATGGACTAATAAATAAGTAATTAGAGGTTGGAACTGCTCAAGGCATGAGCACCACCAAAAAAAGGCACTTAAAAGCCAAAACTAGTTGCATAAGCTTTTCAGCA